CGACATCGGACACTGTCACCGTGTCACACGAGACTTTAACGTTAGAAACTGACGCCAAATAAATTGACTCAGGCGCGCGACTGCACGCTTCGCTGCCCACTTACACAACAAGTCGTTATACTAAATTAAGCCCGCGCAAATGGTGTTCTTTCAGTTTTGGTGTAGAAACTATAAGAGAAAGTGTTCTATTAGGCAGTCAAATCTTAAGAAAAATAAAAGAAACGTAAGATAAAACATTATGACTGTAAACATTAAACAATGCGTGTCATGCTCAAGTTCATTTGAAGATAACATCAAATTATTAATTCTTACAAAAGATGTTGATTTGTTTTTGGACTCTGAAGCAATCACAATCTTTCAAACTTTATGAGACTCGCTTTTTTATAATCGATAACATCCCAATTTTGAATGCTTTTCATGCAATAAAAAATGTTTATAAATATATTACTAATATAACCGATTGTTAATGACAGGAATATTTGGTTAAGATTAATTAAAGTTCAATTCTTAAAAATCACTTTAATTGGTAAAATGAAAACATTGGAATTTTAAAACTTCTAAAGACAAATTGTTTGATCCATACAAATTAATATATGAGTGTACTAGGTAATTAATTATCACCAAATCTTTTACATTAAAGAATCAAAGTGGATATGCAGGTGTATTGAGGTACATAGAGTGAGTGTAAAAATGTTGTACTCATTAAATTCAGTTATCAGAATATGTGATGGGCGCAAACAAAGCATCATGAATATGTTTCAAAACATCTTGAACTGTAATGTGGTTGACATATTATAGCATTTTCTCCCTTGCTTTCACTCGTAGAAACAGAAGAAATGGCTTTAGGTTTTAAAAAATGTAATTCAACAGAATATTTTAATTCAATAGATAACAGTTTAATTTTTTGCCTAGAAGTAAAGGTTTTCTTAGTTATAACAATTGTTAAAAGACACTTGTTGTTATTTTTACTATATTTTTAAGAGTTAGAATTGGAACAGTTTTTGACATGATTTTAAAAGCAATACATATATAAAGAAAAATAAAATACAATAATATTTTATAATAATTTGTAAATTACTTTGAAACTGTATTAAGTTTCGATTTCAATCTTATTAAAAGTTATCTTCAAATTTAAAATCAATTTCCTTAACAATATATTAACCTTTCATATTTATAAAGTGCTCTTCAAAATAAGTAATTTTTTCTTGTATTGAGCGATATGGCATGTTTGGTTTATTGTTTATTTTTATTACTGGTTAATTTTCAAATATCACTAATAGACTAGGCTATTGGTAATCGTAACAAAGTCTACTATCAAGCTGGTTTAAACTCTTTCGAAAATCTATGTTCAAAATCTTATAAATAATTCTCAATGTTACATTAGACTTGAATAATAGGATTCATAAATGTTGTTACAGGAAGGAAGCTGTTAATGTAAACATGGGAAGTGACTAAAAAGATAAATAAATTATCAGCTTCAAATTATTTTAATATGTTTTTCTTTCGAATACCAGGATCTGATATGATAATTTCTCTTCCACATTAGAAGATAAACGAAAGACAAAACATTCTTACCATATAATACCTTTTAATTTAGATAAATAATGAATTTAACATCTTCTCATCTATGAATAACCTTCGTAACCAACGAAAATGGTTTTACTTGTAATTCTTAATTTTTACAAAATCCAAAGTGTTGTAAATATTCGCGGTATACAAGAATTTGAATTTTCAATTTAAATGACACCTCATGCGCACGTGGCTAAATGACCATATCAGAGACCCTTAAGACTCGGCCTTGCCGTTTCTAATTTTAAGCTACTGGCAAAAAAAACAAAACAATCGCGCTCAGCACTTTGGTGACGGCTAGTGCAAACAAAGTTTGAGTAGCTTTGCACGAATATCCGAAAATAAACAAAAACTTGCTGTTTGTTGTTAACCACAAATATACACAAAGGATTATCAGTGCTCTGCCCACCACGGGTATCGAAACCTGGTTTCTAGCAGTATACGTCCGCAGACATACCGCTGTGCCACTGGGGAGTAAACAGAACCAAAAAATCTTCTATCTGCATCCCGATACGCTAACTTTTAGGTCACACTCAACCCAGGTATACAAATATGGTTAAAGTTGACAACCCTTCTTAAGGACATTTTACCTGAGGTATAAATTAGAATTAATATTTGTTTTCTACAAAAACAAAAAAACAAAAAAACTAGCGGATACTAGAAAATAAAATTAATTTGTTTCTTATGTGGTTCGTCCATATTTCAATAGCGTGGTTGTACTCTGTGTTGCAAGAAACAAGTTGTTACTTGTTTAAGTAGGATTCAGTTTCTCCTCTTTTCTCAATTGTAGTTCTACAAGAAGCTTGGTTAGATCAGTTGTGAATTTGTAGTCTGTTCATATATATGATACTGCTAACAATAATGTATGTCAACATGGTCATTCTTTATATTTCAAACAAAGTGGTGAGGCCTTATGTTTTCAAAAATATACCAAATTATATTATTGACAGGATGATGAGTTCACCATGTTGCCAGTGGATTGTTCGATTTTCATGTTGTCAGTTCTCATATTGTGTCTACAGTAGAATCAGTTGCAATCAGTGTGATAACTCATCAGGTTATCAGATTTCGGTTAGTTCTCAAGTTCATTCTTCATAATGTCACCACTATGATTAGTTTTTACGTTGCACGTTACGTTTTTAGTTTTCATGTTGTTAGTACTGTGGTTTACATTTATTTTGTCAGTAATATTCTTAACACTCATGTTAAATAAATAAATTAAACGGCAATGGTACACAGGTAAAATACTAAAAAGCGAGCATAGAACGCTGAGTATTTGCATACTAAAATAAATATATTTAAAAAAGGGCACAAACTATAAGTTTCGGCAGGTTTCTATGCCACCAGCATCAGAATATGAGTTAAAATCAGATCACCAATTTACATAAACCTATATTACGCCCTCAGCGTAATTTTGACCATGAATACAACTCTTCCAACCCTCCATGGAGAGTTGATAAATCAGATTGCTAGTATTTCATTTCTCCCACTCTTGGACCAAAATATTTATTGAAAAATAACAATTTTGTTTTTCTCAAATTCAACTGATATTCTAATGTATAGTTCCCTCTTAAATTTAACCTGGTTCATCATCATAACATTTTTTGAAAATTTACAAAGTAAGATGTGTTTGTCACATATTCAGCTAAAGCCAATTCGTCCGCTTTACCTTTGTTTACCACATTTTTGTTCTTTAATTCTTAAAGTTTTCTGCACGTTTGGCCAATATAAATTCAACCACAGATGCAAGAAATTTTGTAAAAACCGCATTTATCACCTCGTTCTATTTCATCTTTTATACCCGTGAGACAATTATTTCATTCATTAAGTGGAAAGTTAACTTACGATCTGTATATATTTTTGATGTTACCTATTCTTGTTGAAATACCTTGATCATATAGCAATCAAACTCCCAAACCATAAGCTTTACCATATTTCCTAGTAACCTTGCAAGAGGTGATATTTTAAGTTTATGGCTTTGTTTTTTATACAACCTATGAATAATTTCGGTATCATAGCTTACATGTTTAGAAAAATAATCAGCGTCGATTATATATCGCAATCATAAATACAAACGTGAAAAAGGATAATATTTGTGGCCATGGGTGATTCAATTTGTTGTGTGGTGGAAAAGCCACTGAAAAATGGTTTTCCGAAGACTGACTTTGAGAGAAACCCATTATATCGTTTGACTGTCATATCCAGGAAATTTAATTGGCTCTCTTTTTCAATCTCCAGCTTAAACCGAATAGTAGGATTAACCGAATTAAGATGTCCTTCAAACTGCCTTAATGTGTCGTTATAGGCTGGAAAAATTTTAAACTGATAAATCAGGTTGGGTTTAAGTGAAATTTAAACATTAGAGAATCAGTAGAAATTGATAAAAACAAAATTATTATATAGATTAAAGATTTTGGTCCAGGTGTGGGAGAAATTAAAATCTGGAAATCTGTTTTGTAAGATCTTCGGAGAGGCTTAGAGTAACTACGTTCGTAGTCGAGATGGCGTTGATGGTGTAATGCAGGGTTTTGTAAGTTGAAGAACAAATAGATATAGAAAGTAGTATCTGAGTTTAGCTCTTACTACTTATGATGGCAGTACTTTGGGGGGCATTGTTAATACTTGCGTTATTAGTACTGATGTTAGTACTTGCGTTGCCAGCACTGATTAATCTTTATATTTTTATAAATTTTTAGTAGCCTTTTCAATCCTGATTGTTCCAGCAACATTTTCATGTTGTCAAATATGTTATAGATTAGGATGTTTTTGAATACCATAGTTAGCCATTGTGTTGTAAACAAAGTTGTCGCGAGATCATTCCTTAAGCTGCTAATAAGTGATTGAGTATAATATGCTTCCCAACCTTACCACACTTTACATTATAGGTGTATTAGTTAATTATTATGTTTCTTAAATAAAAATAACACGTTTTAAACTTGATCATTGTGTGTTTAGTTGTCACCCCGTCATCAGTATGTTTAATTTTTGCACTGTCAACAATATAGTTACATCTAATGGCATTGACAATGCAATAACCCAAATTGTTATCAACATTGGGGCCATTTGTTCTTAAGTGGTTAATGTCAGTGTTAATGAAATGATCAATCCTCATGATGTTGTCGTTGTGATCAACAATCATGCTGTTAGTGGGTAGTAAATTCTTCTGCTTTGAATAAAGTGGTCAATAACAGATTTTTATAATGTTTAATAGTAGAAATGGTGATTCCTCGTTTTATAAACAAAGTAATTAAGATTTGTGCTACAATTATATTTAACTCTTATTTATTTTTTTGAAGAGTCAGAAATACAATAGCCTTGTAAGATTACTCTTGTAAAATAGTTTGTATTCGTACTTACCGTGTTAGGTGGAATATATAAACTTATTATTTTTCAAAAAGAGTTATTGATTAAAGTTTGTTTCTCTTCGGCAGCTCCTGTTCACGCTGTTGTGGGTTCTTTTCCTGGAGCAACTAGTTGTATGTAATACAGCTTACACTGTGAGTTGAGAATAACTTTATTTACACAATATCTAATTCTCCTCCCATACGAAGGTAAGCGGCCTGAAAAAAACAAATTGATTTTTACGTTTGTTGCTGTCTTTTGAGAAAAATGCGATGATCAATAAGATATTGATATTGAACCCACAGCCAGGCAGAGAAGGAAAAAAAGACTAGAAATCTATCGAATGTATACATTTTTTATCCTAATACAACATTTAGGGTCTATAATATAAAACTGGTAAAGTAAGTAATAAATGTGATGTTTTACCATTCTTTCACGTTTGCCCACCCAGTGGCACAGCGGTATGTCTATGAACTTACAACGCTAGAATCCGGGTTTCGATACCCGTGGTAAGCAGAGCACAGATAGCCCATTGTTTGGCTTAGTGTTTAATTACAAACAAACTTTCACGTTTTTCGTGCTCCTGTCAATAACTTTCAGGTATGTTTTTTTTTTCACTTAAGAGACGAATTAAAAAAACAGCAACAACACATTATTGATGAAAATCTCAACATGACTAGTTCCATATTTAGATTGTTGTACATGCAATGACGTTTATATAATCTTGTTGGCTAAATAGTGATTGCTCGATTCCCATTTACAATTCTACTGTTTTTAGCACTGAAATATTGGCTGTATGGTTTTTATTACCGTCTTCACACTGTTATCACTTAAATACCGTTGTGTACCCATTATTCTCCTACATTTATAGCGCTAAAATACTGATTACCTGTTCCCACTACCTCTTACTGATTTTTAGTATTCAAATATTGACAACCTAGTTCCCATTACTTTTTATAAATTCCTACTAACAAAAAATTCTGATTCCTGGCACTAGTGGTTTCCATTAGCTCTTACATTCCTACTGTTAAAATTTGAGTTTGCTTTGAATATCGCGCAAAGCAACACGAGGGCTATCTGCGCTAGCCGTCCCTACTTTAGCAGTGAAAGATCAGAGGGAAGGCAGCTAGTCATCACCACCCACAGCCAACTCGAATATGTTTGGTGGAAGGGGGATTCGAACGCGCGACCCTCCGATTCCAAGTCAAGCACCCTAGCGACCTGGCATTCTAAACATACTGACTACATAGTTCCCACTACTTCTTATAGATTCCTAGCGCTAAAATATTGACTACATAATTCCCACTACTTCTTATAGATTCCTAGCACTAAAATACTGACTACATAGTTCCCACTACTTTTTATAGATTCCTAGCACTAAAATACTGACTACATACATAGTTCCCACTACTTTTTATAGATTCCTAGCGCTAAAATACTGACTACATAGTTCCCACTACTTTTTATAGATTCCTAGCACTAAAATACTGACTACATAGTTCCCACTACTTTTTATAGATTCCTAGCGCTAAAATACTGACTACGTGGTTTTTATTACCTCTTACAGATTCCTAGCGTTAAAATACTAACTACTTAATCCTATCAGTTTTTAACATTTTACTGATTTAATGAGGATTAACGAATTCCGATTACTTTTTCTACTCTTTCACTATTTGGATATGATATAATTTGAAAAACATTAAAGAAACTAATAACATTTTTGGAGGTTGTTGAGAAGACAGCTAAACTTACTAAGATATCCATTACTTCATTGAATGGAGCAGTTTGAAACAATTCGATTAGTTGCTGGTTTTTTAGATATCAGCTTGACTTGTGTAG